GCCGTCCCTGGGGCTCCGGGCTTACGGCTATCAGTGTTGGGCTGCTATAGAGGCCGTCCCTGGGGCTCCTGGCTTACGGCTATCAGTGTTGGGCTGCTATAGAGGCCGTCCCTGGGGCTCCTGGCTTACGACTATCAGTGTTGGGCTGCTATAGAGGCCGTCCCTGGGGCTCCCAGCTTACGACTAGCAGCGTGGTGGTGCCCATTCTCAGGGGGGTTTCTGGACTGCTGAGGCAGCTTCTTTTCTGTTCTTGTGCCATGCATAGATTCAGCAGGAAAACACTCTGTGCCCCCCCCCTACCACCAACACCATGGGACCCAAAACCCTAAGATGCAGGTGTCTCCTGGTATCTTCTGGCCCATGAATGATAAATTGTAGAAAAGCCTGAATCCATGTGCTATGTTGAATGAGGAGGATTCTCTCTGTCTATAATTAATCTAGCTATTAATCATGTGATGGATATGCTCAATTGTAGGATGATCAGCAATGTGGCTCGTTCATTCAATAAAATAGGCCTTTGCTCTGCTATGTGATAAAACTGATGCAGTGTGCATAAAAATAAGTTCAGTTAGTTCACTGAGTTAACATAGTTTCTGGGAGTGCACTTTAGGTGTGTTATTGTCAGTGCTTAATGTTCATCCAGCACCTGGAAAGTTGATTGAAATGAAATCAGTAAACTTCATCCAGATCCAGATTGTTTTTACACTTTATTCACCATCTTCACTCGTGTTCTCTTTTACACGAGCTGCGCTCGCCATAGCTCTTGAACGCTTTGATTATGTGTGACGGTCTTAGGGTCATAAACCCAACACCCCTCCCCCCCCCAGCGTTATGCCTGCTTTGATGCTTCTCTCTTTTTCAGGTGGGAAGCTGTGGTGGGCCGATGACAGTCTGGCGCAGCTGGGCATCGTCACCAGGAGGGACGCCCGGAACATGCTTGTGCTACGGAACAAGACCAATGGCGTGCTGCACATGAAGGTCTATGACAGGGAGGGCCAGAAAGGTACAGCCAGAGGAGCCGCAGTGCCACTCAACCCATTAGGAGACACTGGTGGCAACCAAAGGTGGCATCTGCTGACGGGGCACTGACTTAGCCAGCCTATTTCACTTAGTCTCGCACAGAGTTGGGTAATTCAGGTCCAGAAAGCAAAAGTCCAGCCCAGAATTTTTTCTCAACCAACCAGTTGAGTACTCTGTGACTGTGACTCTTTATGTTCAATTGGTTGGTTGAAACAAAATCTTGGTCTGGACTTTTATACTCTGGAACTGAATTACCCAACTCTGGTCTCGGAGCAGGGGCACTGGCGGTAAAGCTTGCCTTGGGCGCCACATGGACTTAGCTAGCAGGCTACTATAACCCTGAGATCGATCTGGCGTTTTGCCATTGGGCACATGGCTGGCTCACAGGCGTCATTTCAGATATGTCCAGGGATGCTATACTGCTTGTGGGACAATGCCACCGGTCAGAGCTTTAATATATCCCACTAATTTCACAATTTAGAGATTGACAGGCAAGAGAAATTTGTACTTTGGAAACTGTAAATGGACTCAATCATGTTTTAATCCTTAAAATAGCAGATTGAGGTTTAAACTATGCACAGAGTCTGTTGTGTGAGTTATTGTCAGAACCATCTGTATTAATGGCAGGTCCATTAGCAGTGTTCCTACAGATCGCCTAAGCATTCCATTAGTATAAAGAATGGCAATTAAGGAGTCCTTAAGGTAAATCTTTTGAGTAGGCGCTTGAAATTCCTCGGACCAATTAGATTTTTCATTTGTCTCCCTGACACAAACCACATGGGAGTGTGGTTTTATAACTTTTCTCTGAAGGTGCAGGTGATATGGTGCACGAGAAATAAGGGCTTGCACCCCCGCCTCCAATTCCTGCCCCACCCCAACCCCGCCCCCCCATGAGCCGGACTTACCTGCAAGTGGTTCAGTGCATCCTGGGAAATAACAGGACTAATTACTAATTAAAGCACGCTCTGATATTGGATAATAGGCAGCCTTGGGATGTCATTGGTTAACCTCAGGACATGTAGCATGATGGTGTTCTGGCATCTAACATCAGCACAACTTGGCCGTGATGTCATGACGAGTCCTGTGGTGCCTATCAGCTCTTTCCTTCTGTTTATGTGATGAATTATGCTCAGGAACTATCACAAGGGATTCTTATTATACGATTTCTGTGTTTTTAATGAACTGAATATTTTTTTGCATTCATTCTCAGATCTGGACTTAATTAGGAGACTAAGTTTTTAGAATCTACCAGTTTATCAGTCTTTCATGTTGTATTGTTTAGGCATAATTAAAATAAAGTTAAAAAAGAAAATCAGATCTATTGCCGCAGAATGTTGAGCATTCAAAAGAACAAAAATTAATAATAAGCCCTATTAATGGAAAAAATAATATTGATGGGATATGGGCTAAATCAATTTAGATTTTTTTCTCAAAGTACTTGTATTATGCACATTTTTAACTGTGGGATTTTGTAGGCATTCGATTGCTTTTGCCTAGTGAACCTCATAGGTGAATAACAGACAAGGGGCTGCAGAGTAGTGCTGCTCACCTCTGTCGGTGCTGATCTGCCTGTCGAGCAGGGAGGAACCCCTGCCAGCTGAGCAATGGCGGCTGTTCCCAGCTCTGCTTCCCCGTCTCGGAGACGAGCCGCACCTGCTCCTGCACGGTGGGCTACAGCCTGCGTAGTGACCGCCACTCCTGCGAAGGTGAGCTGCTCTAGGCCCGGCGACGTAAATGGCACCGTGCCGCCGCTCTCCAGGGCCACCATCTGCGCTGCCACCTTCAGGCTCCTGAGGTCTCTCCTGTGTAGTGTTATAGTAGCTTTGGTTGCTGTCATTATTTTTCATTTATTAAATAGTTTTCACTGCGCTAGCGTTCCTTGCTAAATTCACCGCGCACATGTATGTATTTGGAGATAATAAAACTAAAAGAGCTCAGTTGTGAAATGTCAATTTGAACTCCTGTTTGCCTGTGTGTGTGAGACAGGTATCGGGGCCTTCCTAATGTATTCCATCCACGAGGGGATCCGAGGAATCTCGCTCGACCCCAGCGACAGCAGCGAGGCCCTGATGCCGGTTACCGGCACGCTGTTCGCTGTTGGCCTGGACTTTCACGCAGGTGACAGGCAGAGTGCTCCCGTCGCATATACTAAGCATCTCATTTCGAGCAAGGCCTCAGCCTGATTCGCGGTTTGGACATCGTGAAAAGTACGATGAGATTACATACCTCCATCACGCCAATGTACAAGATGATCCATGGAAACAGTCACAATTCATTTTGCTATTGCAAAAATGTACAAATATTTCTCGTGTCATACTTCTTTGTATATTGTGTATTTCAGTTCAGTTTATTTCTGTGTCAGTCCCTGTGTGTCTATATTGCCCCTGATTAGGCATATGCTGTATTGCTGGCTGTGGTGCTGTTAAATGACACTTCGCCTCTCTGTGGTTAGTGATAATGAAGATGCTTATCCTGTCTTATCTATGTCAAATCCTAAAGGACAGAAAGCATAGCTATTAGCCAAGTGCTGCATGAATGAGTAAAACACAGGAGTCCTGTCACATGTCGTCTGTCTGCCAGCTCTGTCTTGCGTACAGTGAGCACTTGGTGCGGGACGTTAAGTGGATTAAGTCAGTCCCGTAATTGATGCATTAAAAACACACACACACCTTCATATGATAAAGCGTAAACATTTTTATGGATTGTATTTAAGTTTTTGTTTAAATAATTTCTGAGTTAGATAATTTTGGTACCAACAAAGTGGCCATTTGGCTTGAGAGTATGGTCAGTGTGGGAGGGTCGTATTGAGGTCGTGTTGCCAGTGGAGGGCCCTGGGCCCAGCAGAGTGACACGCATGTCACACGGCGTTTTATCGATATTATTAAGTACGGCCGGCAGGGCGTCTTCTGCACTGGGGCTGCGTGTGAACAGAGAGCCGCGTGAGCCTGTCAGTGCGCTGAGGCTCAGTCCCTCAGCGGCTCGATTTATGGCTGTGCGTTCACATTGCAGAGATCTTGCACGTGTACATAATGATGCCTGCAGACGGAGCTGCATGCGCATCTGCTCGTGAGAGATTCATCTACACTTTACTTTTACTCGTCCGTATTCCTGTTCATCAACCAAAGATTAAGCATCTCATAAGCAAGAGAACCTTTACATTATTTGTGTATTGCTGTTTTTTTTAGTAGATATAAAGAGCCCTTTTTGTTTCTGGCATGGTGTCCCCAAGAGTGTCCCTTATTTAGCAGCAACAGCCCTGCCGTGTAGCCGGCATCGATGGCAGGTGCCTGCGGGAAATGCCATGCCTGCATTTTTGTGGCCTTGCCATTGTTCGGTAAGCCATTAAAGCCCGCAACCCCCAAAAAGAGCTTTAAATGCCTTGTGAATATGCAGAGGCCACTTAACATGCATGTTTTCTCAAATGCTGTAGGAGCACTGAGAAAGGGTCCCTGGTGAGCTTTACCTGAGCTTTGGAATAAAAACAGAGGGGTCACAGAGGATGGAGATTGCTTACAAACTGCATAGACTGGGAAGCCAATAATTAAGTTAACAAAGGTAACAACAGGAGCAGCTATTTTGTTTAATCCACAAATAAAGTAGACTTTTTAATAAGATCTTAGGTTTGTGGTTGTAAGCCTTCTTTCTGTAGCAGTGCTTATGTTGATTCTATGTATGTGTGTACCCTTTAATTGTTTCTTCATTAATTAGTTGCACTGTGAGTCTATGGGAGTCTCTCCACGAATGAGCTGTGAAATGGAGGGTGTAGCCAGCGCTGAGGTGCAGGGCAGTCGAAATACAAGCCAGGAGTCCTGTGAAAAGAGTAAAATCACAGAGATGTGACCTGAGGAACAGAAGGCCCTCCTCTTGCTTGGCTCGTCATTCTCGCAGGCTCTGAAATTCCTTCAGACGCCGATGAAGACGAACTTCCTGTTAAGCGAGCCTCACACTCCCCAAATATATGCAAACAGCATTTGCATTTCATCACGGTGCTGAACGCTTGAGTGTGAAACAAGCAGCCTCCCGGGTGGATCCATGTAAGAGACGATAACCGTGTGAAGACAGAAGCGTCTGATAATCGGCCGAGCCGTGGCCCTGCAATGCTTCCATACAGAGTCTGGGAAGGGATTACAATGGCCTTTGGACAATGCTCCTATTTCCCACATTTCACTGCTCTAGACTGGTACACATGGGAAAGGTACACCTTATCTTTCAGCTAAGATTTTCACGTTTTGGTTGAGGCTACGGTTGCCACCTGTCCCATTTTTTACGGGATTGATCTGTACCATAAAATAATTTTCTGTCTCATTTTCGGACCATGTGATCGATTCCCATCGGGGACCCTTCTACATTAATTTTATCATCATGGACCTGGGGAGCAGGCAGCATCCCCTATTTCTTCATATTGAAAGTGGCAAACGCTAGTTGTGGAATCATGGCACCCAGATCATGTGACCCGTGTCGTCCATCTTGGGCCTGCCCTTTGGCCATGAAAGTTTTTTGTGTCTGTCATCTATACCAAACTGAAACCCTCCAGAGCAATTTTGTAATTAGGTTACCATTTCTTCTCTGGCCAAATAATTTTGATACTTGTGATATGTAAAAAGAGGTCATAAAACTCATTTGGATCTCATTATTTACCATTCCTTTTACAATATTCTGCAAGGGCTTCAGGACAGCATGAAATGCATTGCTGCCTCCTGATTAAATCTTTACTACCCTTTTTATTGATTGCCAAGGATTCATTTCTTGGAGGTAAAGTGTGGGACCCTTTATTAAATTCCCCATGCAGGAAACGACACTATCTACTGGACAGACATGGGCTTAAACCGCATCTCCCGAGCGAAGAGAGACCAGACCTGGAAAGAAGACATCATCACAAACGGCCTCGGCAGGGTGGAAGGCATTGCGGTGGACTGGATTGCCGGTCAGTACGCTCTGTGCTCCAGTCCCACGCCAGCTGCCAGCTGCCAGCTTTTGCCTTTACAGATGCGTTACATCTGTTGCTGTGCTCCTGGGGTTTACTGATTGGTTTGTTTCCCAAGGGAACATTTACTGGACGGACCATGGCTTCAATCTCATTGAGATCGCCCGCCTCAGCGGGTGGTACCGCTCTGTGGTTATCTCTCAGGAGCTCGATCAGCCGAGAGCCATCGCCGTGCACCCAGTCCGAGGGTACGTGCCTTCCTCTAAGCCGCTCTGCTGCGGCTCCTACAGGTCTCACCCACATGTCACCATGGAGAGTCCAATAGGTCTTCCATCCTCAATACCTCCAAAGATCTGTATAGAAGGAAGATTGCCCTGGATAATCAGACAGGGCATGTGAATCGGGCCTTGATTCCTCGACAGGCTTCCTGAAGTGCTGCCGCTCTCACAGACCAAAAGTCTGAGCAAATGGGTTGGATCTTGTCTACAGTATGTCATGTGACAGCCCCCAAACCAGCTGAGTGAACGCGGAGAGCTCAGCGAGGCGAGCATGCATGTTTCTGGCTATTTCCTATCCCACAGTGGCTGCATTCCAGTTCGCTTAAGCTAACCACACACGTTCTAAGGATGGCGGCCATATAGTCCGCGAGGGAGGGAGGGCCGGTAGGCGCTGGTCTTCCCTAAGGAAGCCCTAAGGCACTCCCAGGCCGCTGTAGCGGGGCATGTTCCTGCAGTGTGCTGGTCCGCAGCCATCTCCATTCTCTCTGAATTACAGGTACATGTTCTGGACTGAGTGGGGCCAGACACCAGGGATCAGCAGAGCGCGACTGGACGGCTCCCAGCGGGTGGCCCTGGTCAGCTCCAACATTGCCTGGCCCAACGGCATCTCCATTGACTACGAGGTGCAGACCACCCACCCACCATTTTTTATTTTTTTTTCCTGATTAATAAACGATGGCGATATGAGGGACGGCGTGGGGCTCAGTGGGTTAGGATGCTGTGCCTGCGATCAGGAGGTCTCTAGTTGACTGTGATGTCACCGTGGGCAGGAGGTCTCTAGTTGACTGTGATGTCACCGTGGGCAGGAGGTCTCT